AAAATTGTTTATCGGAATACCGCCACCTTTTTTCGAAAGAGTCGTCACTAGGCGCAGAAATCACATGTACTTAGTCGTTGAATCAGTTATTTGATGGTAAAACGTTACTAGATACCATCGGGGTTCGAACCTGTTGGTAGGTGTAGTTGCCAGTGAGGATGTCTCTGGCTAGCCAGGTGGGGAAGTAGAGGTCCTCATGTTTCACTATCCACTCGAACAGACCCACAAATCCACCCCTCCAATACGAACCTCTCATTCAGGGAAAGGCTGGGAAAAAAAACAACCAAAAATTATATTCAAACGTTTCACGTGACCAATTTACTAGGTAAGAATTTCTTAGCAAGGCAACAACCTCGGTTTTATTTTCACTCCAATTAATTTTTGAGTTTTTCATTTTCATTGTTTTTTTCACATCTTTTTGGGCTAAATGCTTTGTTTCACCATTTTGCGCCCAAAAAATGTGGTCACAAAACTAAAATTGTTCACCCAGCTAAAATAATTACTCCATGACAAAGTTAAGATAGTTATTTAACCATAGCTGCAATACAATCGTGCAGAAACGGGAGTGACATAGACCTCTCGATAGAAACCCAGCCCCTGTTTATCCAGGATCTTGGAACCCTTCATAACTGATAAACCCAATCATTGGTAACTAACTCGGTTTTTGTAAATACAAATCTTCTTGCACCCTCTCTAGCGCTGGTCTTTTTTATCTTCGTGCTGACATTTTTATAGTTTTGGACCAAGTCTTTTTTGTTGGTAGTTTAAATAAAAAGCAGGTTCAGAAAAGTAACGGAATACTTTTCCAACGTATTCGGAAAACGTTGCTCGTTTTTAGAGTGTCAAAAACTGAACCTGAATTGACCCGCTTTGACCCCATTAAGAGTGCCCACATATCCTGCGAAACTGCTCATATTAAACACCCCCTGCCCCCCTCTGACGAACTCCACATTGTACTCCATCCTCCTGAGTATCTCGCTCACAGTCCACGTGTGGGTCTCCAAGTCCCATCCCATGAACAGGCCAAAGTCAAGGTTACGCGCATGAAAATGTTCCCCTGGATTGAAAAAAAACATGGAAAGCAAGAAAAAACAAAAACAAGTAAGGAGTTTGCAAGACTTAGGACTGATTATGATTAGCTTCAGAGTTTAGTCGCAGAGTAAAGAGAAAAAAAACATGCGAAATTTAGTGAATCAAACATGTGTTTTTTTCTTTTCCACGGGGAATTGTTCTCCTGTGGGAAGGAAAACAAAAATTAGTGATGGGTTTGAATGTTTTAAGGCTGGCTATGATTTGCTTCAGAGTTTATAAACTCTGAAGTCGCATTAAAAAGAGGACAAAGCAGTAGTAACTGTTTACTATAGTCGCAGTAAAAAGTGGACAAACTATGGAATTTAGTGAATCAAGCAATTGTTTTTCCTTTCCATAGGGAAGTGTTCTCCTGTGAAAAGGAAAAACAAACTAGTCTTTTTTTCTAAATTGTTTTTTATTGATTGTATTTTAATGTTAAAATGAGTCTTGTTAAAAGTTCGTTTAAAGTTTACAAAAAAAAATCTAGTTAATGATTAAAAAAAAAAACAAAAAAAATATTCAATCGTTTTTTATCATAGAAGTCGATAATGGTAGCTAGACGTAACTAGTTGTTTGTAGCACTGGGAGGCAAATGACAACAGTTTCAAGACCCAGTTACTGACAGCTTCTTGTTCCGACCGCTTCAGTGAAAGAGACCGAAAAGAACTAAGGGTTGATTAGTGTGTTTTTATGCACGATACTGACCACCTCAAAAATAGCTTGTTTGGTATCAAGTTAGAAAATATAGTGTTTTGATTCAATTCAGCTTTCAAAATTTTTTCGAAAATTTGTCTCATTGTCAAGGGAAAAAATGTCAAAGATTTTACATTTTTCAGACTTTTACAAATGACGAGAAGATAAGCTGGTCTCCCAACTTAAACCTCAATGATTCATTATAATAATTCAGCTGTTATAACTTCTCTTTTTGGCAGTTGTTTCTTTAATTCTTTAAAAAAACGAAGAAACAAAAACCAGAAAAATGTTTGTACATTTTTTGAGAAGATTTTGGTTTTTTTTTTGCGTTTTTTTTTCTTCAAAACTTCTTAATCATTTTTGAAACTTTTTGTTTAAATACTTGTGGTTGGAACATTCTGTGCAACTTTCACTGCAACCCGAAACCTGTGTTTGGCCAATAAAAATAAAGGTCTTTTTTGAAAGTGGATATGGAAAAGAATTGTACTAATCAATTATAGAGCTATTGAATTTTAATCTTCGCTAAGTTTTGTTCAAAATAATCAAAATCCAATCTAGTTTTCTCAAGATTGAGAAAAATTGTTCGATTATAAGAAAATAAAAGACCAAGGTACCTTATATTTTTGATTTTTTTTTCATGATTTCGATAAAATGGCGAATAACTACGAGCGAAATCAAATCATATTTGCTCGAATTGAAAGAAAAAAGTTAGACACCTTATTTTTTGAGTGACAGAACAGCCACTTGATGTCATTTGGGAGTTTCTTCTGTATTTTTTCGTGCAAAGACGTCGCGTTGATACTAAAGCAAGCTTTTTTATAATGTAAAAATAAGTTATAGGTATACTGAGAAAAAAAATAGCATACAAATTCCATATATTTTGTCAAGATGGTGTTATCGAAGTTTTGATGATTTTGTTGTGGCATAAATAGTCAAAAATAATCATTTTTAAAAAATCAAATTGCTGGAATTGTCAAAAATTGTCAAATATGTGGAAAAAGCATGCCTAGCATTTTTTGATTGGGAGGAAAAATTTTAAATTTTTTCCAAAAATACACGGATTTTTTTTCCATTTTGCTAGATAGCTCTGTTCAGAAACTCTCAGAACGCCTATTTCTTTTGATTGCATCTTTATGTGTGCCTTGATCAATGCTCGAATAATAAATCTCATAAACTGATACTTTTACCAAATCATATGTATTTCTGCCTCGTTTCGGTTCTGAGGCAGATCGGTTTCGGGTAGCTGGCTGATTGACAACATTTGAAGTGAAACAATATGAGTGAAACAATTCACAGGCAAATCAGGTTGTTTTATGCATTATAATGCAAGGTCGTCCAACCTTTGTTTACTATAGTTTTGAGGAAACCATGGTTTTTATCACTTGTGTTCGGTTACAAAAACAACCCAAAAAATTCAGGAAGTTAATTTTTTAAAATGTTTGAGTTCATGAGCTAAATCTAGTCCATCAGTTTCTATATTGAAAGGTCATTTTAATTCTTAACAAAATAGACCTTTAAACAATTTTCTGTACTTATGGAATGGCATGAAAAGTTTATAATTAGAAATTTTTTCCATTTAGGAAAAATTTTTGATTCGCCCTTTTGGTCATCCTGGGTAGTTTCTTTTTCTATGAAAAGCCTTCTTGCACCTTCTTGCCTTGAGTTTTTCTACAACAAAAAGTTTTCTTGACAACTGACTTATCTCAGTTTCGTAGCTTTGATGAGTCAAAAACAGCTTGGACAAACGACAAAAGTGACGTTTTTTTTTCAAAAATGGGGATCTAAGCGCAAAGTACAGTCATGCTATCACATTCTGTTTGTAGACGTACACATAGATTTCAAATGTTCTTATTTCTGTTCCGACCTCTGTAGATATTTCACATGAAGAACTACGGCGTAGTGCGGTTTTTGCACGATTTGAGAAACTTCAAAGAAAGTCTAGAAGGTTGAAACAGTCGTGATATAATATTGGAGGTCTGTCATTCGTGGTTTAGAATAAAAAAATCGTACTTTTGAGAAAACGATGGTATGACATCGTACTTTTTAATGGACTTCATAATTAAGACTTTTACAGAAAAATTTTCTTGGATTTTAAAAAAAAAAAGACTTTTAGTAAATGAAAAAATGTCCTTCTTATCTTTCCTGTTTTTTTTTCACTGACGTATTAGCCTTAATCAATCTTACAGATTATTATGCAAATGATCCTTTTTTCACCGCTCGTGAAAAAACTCAGCTTTTGAAAATTGTAAAAGCAGCAAAAACAAAAGCGGGAAACGTGAAGAACGCACTTAGCTTTTTATGTGTTGATCTGCGCTTAGAGGAAATATGGTTTGAATAATATTTTAATTTTCCTAACCTGTCTGTGAGTTCTGAGCGACTATGGAGGTGCAGACGGAGAATAGTTCGTAGAAGATGTTGTACACCACCACTCTGCCCAGCTTAACTCCAGACACTTCAGAGATGCCCTCGATCTCCTCCCTGCAACCAAAAAAAAACAGAAATTTATTGTTTGTTATGCAACTCAAAACATCCAAAACTGTCAATTGATCAGCATCTCGTTTTTCGCACAAAAATCCAAGATTCAATACCGCTGGCATCATTTTAAACCAAAAAAATTCGAAAACACTGATTCAATTACAAAAAAAGAGGACTTTTGGACCTAACAGAAGAAATGTTTCTCAAAACGCTGCCCAAAGTTAGCATAGTTAGCATAAAAAATATTTCATGATCGCCAACGTTTATGACAATAAACCACATCACAAAGAAAACAAAAAAAATGTGATTACAAAATTATCCTAATATTTGAACAATTTTTACAATTAGCGGGCTAGTGAAACAATCTCGAGTGAGCTGCGTGACATGGGAAAACAATGCGGAAAGATATGTTTCAGTTAAGGCCAACAAGATTGCTTTAGATCAGGTTCAAGCTATTGTTTTAAATATTAAAATTGGTCCGAAAGCTCGCTAGTCGTAAGCACCTTAGTCCGAGTTTTTTTTAAGAAAATGTCTCAAACTTGTTCAATTTTACATTGCTGCTGAGAATAACTGTGACATGTTCCTACAGTCTCCATAACACCATAAGTAAACTTTTGTTTTAAATTTTTGGCATTATCTGGACAAATCAATAAATTTTTGAATTTTTTTTTGAGTCATTACGAGGCCAAACTGTGGTTTTTGGGAAACGTGAGCAGATTCCGCTACAAGGACACCCCTTTGTTCTTCTTTTGTTCTTTCATTTGCTTTGATTGTTTCGACAAATGTTGAACATAATAAAAGACCTGTCCCTGGAATCCAGGAACATACAGACACAAAAATGTGCGCCTATCCAGAGCACAGTTTGGCCTCATAATGGGTGTGAGCGCTTGTAAAAATAAGAAACTAAATTTTTTTTCTCCATTTCTAAACCATTCAAACAAGTCATGGATCTCTTTAACTATTCCCCGCCCCTTTGCAAAAAGGGGAGATTGGTTTCTAGGTAAATAACTTACATATGATTAATCGCTGAACATTTTTTATGGGGGGGGGGGGAGGGGCAATTCGTTATTTGGTACTCTAGGGGTGGGAGAATAGTTTAAGAGATGCCAAATTCTTTGCTGATTGTTAAAAAAGAGGAGACTGAACTTAATATCATGTGAAATTTATAGAAATTTACCTTCGTTATATTGGAAAATCTTAAATTAATTCGAAACCAGTTGGTTTTCAAAGTTAGATTTTCTCCTTTTCTCTTTTCAAAAAGATTTTCCCTTTTTCAATTGCGCCACTTTTCTAATTTTTTCAAATTTTTTTAATATTGTAAAATAAAATCTAAAATAAAAGCAAAGGATGATAGACGAAGTATGGCTAGTTGAACTGTGAGCGCCAGAATCAGAAAAAAGAGCTTTGTTTTTTTTTTTCACTTTAGTTCCTTCGTATCTGTTTTCATTTATCAACAAAATGAAAAGATGGTTCCAAATGAGTCCTACCTGTATTCCTTGGGGAATTTGAGTACTAAAGTGGGAAGTACATCATCTATGATCTTGAGAATGGTGCCACTGGGGTCGACCAAGTTCAACAGATGCAGCAGTTGGTCAACCAGGTCATTGATTGGATCCTTGTAAGTTGTTATGATCTCTGTCCACCTGAGAAAGTTTTAATCCAATTTGTTGTAAATTGAATCAGTAGCATCCCTAGGTTAATATTACACACATGTTGCAGAAAAAATTCAACTCTTACATTGAAAAATCTTGCTAGAATCTTGTATGATTGTGTATTTCAAACGTATTAGGGGGTATTAGTCGTGACTTTTTTTTGAACTTTCAGAAAACACAAAAACTAAATTATCGCAAAATATCAGACTTTTTTAAAATAAAAAAATTCTTTCTTTTGTTAAAATTCAAACAAATATTCATGAAATTGACAATATAACCACTTTTCCACGACATATTTGACATTTCAGAGTCTCAAAAAGAAGTCGCTGAATAAGTTTGGAAAAAAAACATCTTTTTACAATGGATCAGCTGACAATTGCAAGTACTCATATGATTTTATGAAATTGTCACCTGGTACGTGGGGACGCATCCAGATCAATTTGGAACCAGGGCAGTTTGAACTGTTCAAGAGGGGGGTACGCCTCAGTCTCGCAGCCATACTGTGGGCTGGGGTCAGGAATAGATCCGTCCCCTGTTGACAATAAAACTAACACTGCTAAACTAAGAAGACGGTATTTCATCGCTATTACTTCAAAAGTTATGAATTATAACTCAGAACTTGTTTTGTCGTTGCATTGGTCAATTGACTTGAGATAAGCTTTGTACCACTAACTATGTACAGTGCGATAAATGGTATAATTTGAACTTGTTCTGTAAGTTTTGTTATTGTTTGACAAATAAGTAGTAGTACGGCCTAATGACATTCTTCGTTTTGTTATTCGCGTTTTGAAATGAAGGTAAGACACATTTTCAAACCTCTTTCTCTAAGGTTGCCATCATCTGACTACACATAAGGTGCGCATCAGGGCAAAACCCCGAAAACTCCTAATGGCTAACCCACTTTTGGAGAAAAAAGAAAAGTTTCAAAGAAGTATTATACAACTATGGAAAATCCTCGTACGTAGTATCAAGTACACAAACCGATCAAATGTGTGTCTATTAAAGCAGTTTTCACAAAACTGAGCTTCAATTTAATAATATCGTTTATTATCTAGTCGCTGTGCACATTTATTTCATAGGCGAAGCGGAAACTTACAAAACCTCTAACGTTTATCAAAAAATTGATAATTTACATTTTTGTGAATCACTTATTTATTTATAGCACAAGGCAACAGTGTCTTTCAGACTAAAAAAAATCATATCAACCATCTGCTCAAACCCTAAGTGACATGCCGAAGAAACTAGGGTAACTGAACAACTGCCTGGCCGAGGTGTGCGACTCATGTTGCGACCAAAATCTGTCGCCGAAATGGACTTTCTGCGACGGAAATTTCATCATATCGCAAGAAGTTTGAGTCGCACTAAGTCGCAACATAGCTAATTTCGGTCGCGTAAAGTTGCAACTTAGCTATTTTGGGTCGCACAAAGTCGTAAATTAGCTAATTTGGGTCGCTAAATGTCGTAATATAGCTAACTTGGGTCGCACAAAGTCGCGACATAGCTAATTTGTGTCGCTCAAAGTCGCAGCATAGCTAAATTGGGTCGCGCAAAGTCACAACATACGTCGCGCAAAGTCGCATCATGGGTCGCGCAAAGTCGCAAATTGGGTTGCATAGAGCTTAAGTAAGGTAACTGTTGTCGGATTTTTTTTTGCTTGCATAAGCGTTATACAGATGCAGATTGCAAAATCAACCAGTGTACATGATTTTTTAATGTGCAGTTAGCTAGATCAACACTTGGTTGAAATTTTTTTACTCAGTCGAACAGTCAATACAAGTTTTCTCGATCGAAACGCTTCGGGTTCGAAAAAAATTCTGGATCAAATTCATCCAAAATTTTTTCCTTGGTTGAACTCGGTCAAAATGTTCTTTCGCGGTCGAAATTGTTCTCGGTCGAAACAATTTTTTTTGTCGAACTCAGTCGAAAAATTTTTCTTTGGTCAAAAACAATCGAAATATTTTGTCGCGGTAAAAATTTACATCGGTCGAAAACACTCCTCTGTCGAACTCGATCGAAACATAGACAGATTGAGTCGAGTTGGTCAAAAATATCGAGCCTGGCTCGAGACGGTCGAAACACGCCATTTTTTGGTCGACTCGGACGAAAAATAAATTGTAAACCTCGACTCTAAAAAGCGATCTAAATCGCGCAAATCACTTTGTTCGCGCAAAATCGCAGCATACTGTTTTTGAATCGCAAAATATTTTTTAGTCGGCCGAAATTGCGCAAATATTAATCGCGCAAAATTGCAACTTACCCATTTTGAGTCGTAACGATTGCAACATAATTTTTTTGTGTCGCGCAAATCTCAACTTATCTGTTCTGGGTCGCGCAAAGTCGCGCAAACGTTTTGGTCGCACAAAGTCGCAACATGCGCATTTTGATTCGCAAGTTTACAAAACATCTACTGTCGACAAAAATTTTGAAAAGTACGTTTTTGTGAATCAATTTAGAAAAAAACACTTATTTTTTTATAGCACAGGGCAACAGTGTATTTCAGACTTAAAAAAAATCATATCAACCATCTGCTCAAACCCTAAGTGATATGCCGAAGAAATTAGGTTAACTGAACAACCGCCCGGGCCGAAGTCAAAATGTGTCGCCAAAATGGACTTTCTGCGACGGAATTTCATCAGATCGCAGAAAAGTTGAGTCGCACTAAGTCGCAACATAGCTAATTTTGGTCGCGTAAAATCGCGAGATAGCTAATTTGGGTCGCTAAATGACGTATTATAGCTAAACTGGGTCGCACAAAGTCGCGACATAGCTAATTTGTGCCGCTCAAAGTCGCAGCATAGCTAATTTGGGTCGCTCAAAGTCGCAACATGGGTTGCACAGAGTCGCAACATATCTAATTGGGGTCGCGCAAAGTCACTGCATGGGTCTCGCAAAGTCGCAACATACGTCGCGCAAAGTCGCATTATGGGTCGCGCAAAGTCGCAAACTAGGTTGCGCAAAGTCGCAAATTGGGTTGCGAAAAGCTTAAGTAATGGTACTGTTCTCGGATTTATTTTCGCTTGCATCAGCGTAATTAAGATGCAGTTCGCAAAATCAGCCAGTAGTTGTGTACTTTTTATTGTGCAGTTAGCTAGATGAACAAATACAGGACCGCCACTTGGTCGAAAAGTTTTTGCTCGGTTGAACAGTCATCATAAATTTTTCTCGATCGAAACGCTTCCTGTTCGAAAAAATTCCGGGTCGGACTCAGTCGGAATGTTTTTTCAGGGTTGAACACAGTCAAAATGTTTTTTCGCGGTCGAAATTTTTCTCGGTCGAAACAATTTTTGGTCGAACTCAGTCGAAAAGTTTTTCTTTGGTCAAAAACAAATATTTTGTCGCGGTCAAAACTCACATCGGTCGAAAAAAACTCCTCTGGTGAACTCGATCGAAACATAGACAGCTTGAGTCGAGTTGGTCAAAACATATCGAGCCTGGCTCGAGACGGTCGAAACACGCCGTTTTTTCGTCGTCTCAGGCGAAACATAAATTGTAAACCTCGACCTTAAAATGCGATCTAAAATGCGCAAATCACTTTGTTCGTGCAAAATCGCAACATACTGTTTTTGAATCGCAAAATGTTTTTAGTCGGCCGAGTTCGCGCAAATATTTCAATCGTGCAAAATTGCAACTAATCCATATTGAGTTGCAATAGTCGCAGCATACCTTTTTGGGTTTTGGGTCGCGTAAAATCGCAACATGTCTGTTTTGAGTCACGCAAGTCGCGCGATTATTTTGGTCCTGCAAAGTCTAAACACACCCATATTGAGTCGCAATTGTCGCAACATACCTTTTTGGGTTGCGTAAAGTCGCAACATATATGTTTTGGGTCGCGCAAAGTCGCGCAAATGTTTCGGTCGCACAAAGTCGCAACATGCCCATTTTGAGTCGCAATGGTCGCAACATACATTTTTTGGGTCGCAGAAAGTCGCAGTACATCTGTTTTTGGTCGCGCAATGTCGCGCAAACATTTCGGTCGCTCAAAGTCGCAACCTGCCCATTTTGAGTCGCAATTGTCGCAACATACGTTTTTGGATCGCGCAAATTAGCAAAAAATTCTTCGGTGGCACAAAGTTGCAATATGCCCATTTTGAGTCGCAATGGTAGCAAAATATCTTATTTGGGTCGCAATGGTCGCAACATACCCATTTTCAGTCGCAATGGTCGCAATATAAGTACCCAACCTCGACCCGGCTGTTCAACTCGTATTTCTTTTAAACTATTAACATGCACATGTTGGCCCGCACCGAGCGTCCATGGGTTCTAAACGATTATAATGGGTTCCTGAGACAAAAATAATCCATTATAATTCATCACTCATGTAAATTTCAGACTACAAAATCAAATATAGTTTCATTATAATCGATTTTTTTTTTGAAAAAGAAAACAGTCCATTATAATCCATCATAATTGATTATATTCAATAATTTTTGTCACTGAAATAAATTTTTTGTCAAGATATCCCATGTACAACTATAATCAAGCGACAATTATTAACTTCAGTATTTTTCGAAGCATTTTTGCATTCTAGCACAAGGTTTTTTGATTTTTCAGGTTTCATCTGGCTCCTTTTCTCTGATTTTTTCAGCCGACCAAGAGACTAAAGGTCGACTGAAAAAGTCAGAGGAAATGAGCCAGATGAGTTATGATAAAATCAAAAAACCTTGTGTTAGAATGCGAAAAATGCTTCGAAACAAACTGAAACAAATTTTGCCTTATCGGAGGTACCACTTTACTAATAAAAAAATCTAATCTGAAATTGCGATAGTTCTAGTTCCAGATCGAAAAAAAAGCTTTCATGTCATAGACGGGTCCACGTTTTCTGTATCATTAGCAAAAACATATTTAATTTTTTGCAACACTTTGGAAGTAATTCCCAGCCAGATTTCGCAAAGTTAATAGAAACTAAAAATGAAAAAAGAAAAACTCAACCTTGCCTAAATTGCCGCTTTTTTCTTTTTACTTTTAAATTAAATATATTCCTAGGAAAAAAGAGTCTTTCGGTAACTTTACTTCGCCATGTTTGTTCCGACCACTGAAAGGTAGATGGAGTTTTGATTTCCTGTGTTATTTAATTTTTAGTTATTTAAAATCAGTTACCTAAAAACAACAAATTGGGTTGTTTTTCAATTCTTTTTGAAGCAAAAATTAAAACTCGTTCAGTTTTGAAGTTTTCGGCAACAAAAAATACAATAAAATCTCGGTGTCGTGAAAAAGACACGGTGTTTTGGCAGATTTTTTGGCTTCTTTGAGCTATTAAACGCAATTGTTTGGAAAAATATTAGTGATACTAGAACAGTTTTAATTTTCACATAAATCTTTTAAAACAATACGAAAGTTGCGTTTTTTAACTCCAAGGTTATGAAAGTTGCGTTTTTTAGAAAGAAAGTTTTTTAAAAACATTAATATAACAAACGTTGCTCATAATTCTTGTTTTTTTGTTCATTTTCAATTCTCGAAAAAAACTGTATTCAGCTGTATTTGATTAAACAAGGTAGTCAGCTTCCAATATTTTCCTCCCATAGTACCACAGAAAACGCACGTTGCTTTAAATCAGTGTTCACTTTATCGCGAAATTGAATTTTTTGTTTAATTTTTTTGGGATATTTTTTTACTTTTTCTTAATTTACTATTTTCTTATTGATTTGATTTTTTTGATAGATGCATTCCCTTTTTCGCTTTAT